TTTAAAGATGCCTGTCATTAGTGGAATGTAAAGTAATGAAGGAATAAATGTTTAGTTATAGTGATAGGTAAAAAAAAGTATATAATACAATTCACATAGATGTCACTCACTTTAAGCTGCACAGAGTTTGAGACAGCTGATGTCAGAAGGCCAGTTTCACCGGTTTTATCATTTCTTGCATTCTGAAACATTTGAAATCAATGTTAATTTTCTAAAGCTTACATTACGCTATATAAGTTTTATATTCCCAAGACACTGTTGACAATTTGAGGATATAAGAGATCTAAGATGATTACCTTGGCAAACATGGTTACAGCCCATTCCATATTCAGGGCACTGGCAGGAGGCCAGCTGTAGTCACTCCAAGCTCTCGTGCCAACACTCCATTCACCAGCTTTCCACCGTGACTGTCTGGGTCTGCACCAACTGCCAACAGTCTTTCTGCTTCTTTCTTGTTCCCTTCTAATACGGCCTTGAACAGATGGCCACCAAGCTGACAGTAAAAAGAAAACTCTTAGAAAAGAAAATACTCCAAATGAAAACGCATATTGCACAATTAACTACATTCTACTACTCTACAGTTAACATTTTCATGCTAGACTATCGGGTGCAAGCTTGTGTGATTGAAATGCTACTGTAGTATTTCCATCATAATTACTTACTAGAGATTTTACTGTGTTATGACGATTATCCCGCTTGTCGGCATCGAAGTCAGAGTCACTCATTAAAAGTTTCAGCACTTGCGTGTGACCCTTTTCAGCGGCCACGTGAGCTGGAGTCTGTCCCTCCTCGTTGGTAATATTGGACTGATCAATTTCAGCAGAAACATCACCACATCGCTTGGTTGTGAGACGCTGCAGTGAAGGAGTGTGCATCTGCTCTTGTTTTTCCTCACAGCTGCTCCTGTATCTTGTATCAATTCCTGCACTTTTACCACATCTCCATCTTCCACTGCTTTGAAGAGCTGACCCTATTGACCAAAAATAATTTGTTGAACTTTCGAAAACATTTGGAAAAGTACTAAGCAAATGAAAGCCTAAATATCAAATATGTGATAGGTTCAGAAGGGAAATAATCACAGTTGGTTAAAACTTTTTCTGATTTCTGTGCTTTGGGAAGCAAAATCAATGAATTCTCAGACATTTCCCGCAGTAGAGACTGACAGAACAATGAGTTGGTTCGAACAACTTGAGATCGAAGAGCAGTCTCTTCCTCCAGGGGAAGGTAATCCTCCGGAATGTAAGGTGGAGTTTTGTCAGCCATGTTCTCGGGGGTTTTTTCAGAAGGATTGGCTGTGAGGGCGACAGCAACCGTGCTCTGGAGATCTTCAAGTTTCTCCTAAATGTTCTAGTAATTCTTCACAGTGTATTCTGCAAAACAGAAAACACATGTTAGTTTCATCTACACCTATTTTCTAATTACTAAACAGAGGTTAGGCATAAAACATTGGACTTCTGTCAAATGTTTGTTCCTACTAATTGCGAGATGTTTTTTATTAATGTTTCATACAAAAATTAGAATCTTACTGACACCAGTTTTAATTACACTAAGAGATATCCGGTAGAGTCTGAAATGTGATTTTCAGGAACGACCGTATAAAGTCTACGGTATATCATACAATTTGTTTATTTCAAGGTCTCTAAAATTTATTCTTACCTTAATATAATCCAGCAATTGTTATCTAAGTTCAAACACCAGTGAATTTGCACAACAAATTTCAATATCTTCTTTCCTTAAATGCACAAGTATGCTTCAAGATGGTAGAGTGACACTTTCAAGTGTTGCACTGTTTCACGTTGCTCACCGAGCGAGCACTGACTGCAAGGTCGGTGTGTCCGCTATTTATAGGGCTCCGACGCGAGACAAGTTGGAACGCGATATCCCAGCTGCGCGCGCAAACGCTCGAACTTGTGCTGATATTTGTTTTCCTTTTTGGATTTCAACCTTGCCTTAAAATGGAATAAAGTATACATACATGCATATACACAAATATAAACAGATAAACAGGTACAAGCACTGTATAGATAGAAAGATAAGATATACGGACAGGTGTATGTGTATGCATCTGTGTTGAATGTAAACATATCTTTATCCTGAATACTCGTGTGTCCGTGCGTGCGTGCGTGTGTGCGTTGTGTTTATGTGTTGTTGTACAATTTTATTACGCTTTCGTTATTTGAGTTTTAAGGTAATGATAAACGCAATAATCAGATATCTAGACTTTTCGGCAAGAAAGTTAATCCTGATATTTAAATGTGTATTAATTATATCATGAATATCCACAAACCTTCATTCACAATAAAATTATGAATAGGAGGATAGGTAGAAATTTGGATAACAGATAAGACAAACATCTAGATATGCGTATTCGTACTTGAGTATGTATGACTATATGCGTATCCCTATGTGTTATGTTGATGCATTTGTGACTGGTGTTGGATGTGTACATATGTATGGGTGTATGTGTGTTTCCCTTTTGATGTATGTGTGTATTGTGTGATTTGTACTATAATTACAGATATTCCTATGCAGTTTCTCACATTGCTTTTCAATGTGCTAGCGACACTTGGAAACTCTCACGGGTTGAAACCTGTGATGGTACGTCACGACTACGTCACGGAGGAAGGAATCCATTATGATATATTTCTTGTTTTTGTTTAACTATTTCACATTTTCCCCCCATCATTTCTTTGCTCTTATCTCTTTCTCTCTCTCTCTCGCTCCAATCTTTTTATTTTTTATTTTTTTTGTTATTATCCGTCGTTTTCTTTCCTTAGTTCCATTCGTATCTTTCTTATTCTTTCTTGTTTTCCATTTCTTTTTCTCTGCCTTTCTGCCTCTCTGTTCGCCATCCTACCATTCTTCTCTATTCACTTGTATATCTTTTTTCTTTCCTGTACGTTAATTTTTCATTTGTCCCATTCCTCTTTTGTTTCTTTGCTTCCTTTCTTTCTCTCTCATTCTCTCTATGTCTTCCTCTTAAATGTTATTTTACTATGTTACTTAGTAATGCGCTCGAGAAAGAAGAAAATCGAAATTGAGAACATCAAATATACATACAGATAAATGCGTGTGTTTTTATATAGATAAATAGATATTTATACATTCCATAATATCAGTGACATTTTAGGGACAGTTAATGACTCCGTTAGAGCTGTAATCACATCAACCATGATTAGCAGTTAACATTGCGGGTAATACACAACTAATCACCAATTTACCCTCGGAAATCACTCCACATCAGTTGCATGTTATCACTGTGAGTCTAGTGTTCGGCAGGTCAGCTGATCAGCGCATACCGTCTATGTGCAAGCAGGGATCGATAACTAAAGCAAAGTCAGGTCGATGATCAGCTATTCTATTGATTCCCACTTTTATCTCAGTATAAAATAAGCACAGTGAAGTGTGCGAGTGTGAAATCGCACACCTGACGACTGTTCATGAAATTCATCACTTGCCATTCCCTTCCGTGACGTCATATCGACGTAGCACAACAAGTCCCAACCCGAGAGAGTTACCAAGTGTCGTCTGGGTACCGGGATGTTTTTACTTATGTGCGTGTCTATCTGTATTATGTATATATACATATATATGTATATATGTGTGTGTGTGTGTGTATACATATGTATTTATATGTATGTCTATATATATGTATATAATATGTATTTATATATATATATATATATGTTTATATATATGTACATGTATATATGTATGTATGTATAGATAGATAGGCAGACAGACAGCTACACACATATATATATACATATATGTAGTATGTATGTATATATGTGTGTGTGCTGATTATATATACATAAATATGTGTGATCATATATGTGTATGTATATATATATATATATTATATTATTAATAAGTATATATTCACATATATATGTACATATATTCATAAATATATACATTTGTGTGTGTATGTTTATATATGTAAATATATGTACGCATATATGTATATATGTGTACATATATATCTATCATATGTGTACATATGTATACATATATATATGTACATATATCATATGTATAATATATATATACATATTTATCAACATATATATATATATGCATACTAATACGCATTTAAGTATGTATATCTTTATGTATGTACTGTATGTATCATTCTATCTATGAATATATTCATGCACTGTATATACTAATACATACATAAATCTCTCTCACTCTTTCTGTATATATATGCATATGTATAATATATATATATATATATATATGATGTATGCATATATATATACATGTATTTATGAATATGTAAGTATATACATATATACATGCATAAGTATATATAACCCTTTAGTGTAGCATCCCGAAATCCCAACCATTTTGATGTAATGTTTGGTATTATGTCATGTTCATTGATGATGATATATATGTATATATACATTTTTGTATATACTTATTTTCTATAGATATTGATAGAGATTTTAAAAACAGGATATGAAAATGCTTAATACAAAAGAAATATATATTTACACTAAAAGCTTTTAATGTACAGCATTTGAATGACTAGATATATTTTGTACATTATTTACATAAACTTGATGAATAAATAATGTGTCTATATTAGTATATCTAGTAATCTTCCTCTACAAAAACATATAATATAAAATAATTTATAAATATTTCGAGAACCAATAAAAAAATGTAAAAGAATATAAACATTTTACCTGAAATATTTCATTGATAATTATTCATCGAAATTATAACACAATGTGACTTTTCTGTTTGTCCCAATACCCGAAGTTTGTCCAGTGCAATTTCTTTATATAATAGATAATTAAAAATCTAATGCCTCAAGTAATTGCTGTTGAAGATCTCTTGAATTCATGGTGTGTGAATCAGATGAAACTCCCTTCAAAGAGGGTCTCATTCAATTTACATAGGATTAAAGAAGAATTTCTTGGTGAAGCCAAAGTACCTCAATTCAGGTGAGAAACTAGGAGAGCTCTTGTTGTATTCTTTCAGGAATTCTCTGTAAAAATCACAAAGTTCATGCTCAGCAGCATGTTCTGCCAAAGTGCGACACAAGGACCAGCTGAAGGAGGTTCCTTTCCCATTCGGGACGCAGTTCACACCAATGCTGTTCGAATATAGACAAGCCATGTCGTTCAGGGGATCTGTCAACCTCATCACTTTTGGACTTTCACTGCTTGAAGTCTCGATAACTTCATTCATGTTAAACAAGTTGAAAATGAAAAGTTTGGGTTTGTTTTTGAGCTGAGGACATTCGGAATCTTTGAACGCATTCAACATATAGTCGATGTCTACACATTTCATGTCAGACGTAAGAAACACTGCCATTTACATATACACAAATATAGCACATCCGACGTCTGTTAGCTCATCACCATCCCTAATGTTTTTCATGACCTCCTTAGTCTGCTGAGCCGTGAGTGACGAGTGTGTTTTACACATGTATCCCATCTTATCAAATACATCTGACATTATGCAAGCATCGTAGTCGAGTTGCTGAAGGTTCAGGTCGGATCTGTCCTTGAAACAACTGAAGTTCAAGATGCGAACAAAGCCTCGTGCCTCCTTGTCCATCTTGTACACATCAGCACCTTGAATTGCCGTTGCATGTCTCACACGAAATTGTCGTGAGGGAACCTGAAATTTAAAGATGCCTGTCATTAGTGGAATGTAAAGTAATGAAGGGATAAATAAGATTAGTTATAGAGTGATAGGTAAAAAAAGTATATAATACAATTCATATAGATGTCACTCACTTTAAGCTGCACAGAGTTTGAGACAGCTGATGTCAGAAGGCCAGTTTCACCGGTTTTATCATTTCTTGCATTCTGAAACATTTGGAAATCAATGTAAATTTTCTAAAGCTTACATTACGCTATATAAGTTTTATATTCCCAAGACACTGTTGACAATTTGAGGATATAAGAGATCTAAGATGATTACCTTGGCAAACATGGTTACAGCCCATTCCATATTCAGGGCACTGGCAAGGAGGCCAGCTGTAGTCACTCCAAGCTCTCGTGCCAACACTCCATTCACCAGCTTTCCACCGTGACTGTCTGGGTCTGCACCAACTGCCAACAGTCTTTCTGCTTCTTTCTTGTTCCCTTCTAATACGGCCTTGAACAGATGGCCACCAAGCTGACAATAAAAAGAAAACTCTTAGAAAAGAAAATACTCCAAATGAAAACGCATATTGCACAATTAACTACATTCTACAACTCTACAGTTAACATTTTCATGCTAGACTATCGGGTGAAAGCTTGTGTGATTGAAATGCTACTGTAGTATCTTTCAATCATAATTACTTACCAGGTTTTTACTGTGTTGTGGCAATTATCCCGTTTGTCGGCATCGAAGTCAGAGTCACTCATTAAAAGTTTCAGCACTTGCGTGTGACCCTTTTCAGCGGCCACGTGAGCTGGAGTCTGTCCCTCCTCGTTGGTAATATTGGGACTGATCAATTTCAGCAGAAACATCACCACATCCGCTTGGTTGTGAGACGCTGCAGTGTGAAGGAGTGTGCATCTGCTCTTGTTTTTCCTCACAGCTGCTCCTGTATCTTGTATTAATTCCTGCACTTTTACCACATCTCCATCTTCCACTGCTTTGAAGAGCTGACCCTATTGACCAATAATAATTTGTTGAACTTTCGAAAACATTTGGAAAAGTACTAAAGCACAATGAAAGCCAAAATATCAAATATGTGATATAGAAACAATTAGCTATGCCTACTAATGCTTACGTTACCTTTAACTTGAAGACATGAAGTGGTGTGTGATTAGCGATGCGTTTAGCCAATCTGTTTGTTAAACTTCGAGTATAAATGCAGTGTTTGAATGGAGTCTTCGTCTTCTTCACCTTCATAACATTAACCTGGGAGAACTTGGACTTTCGTGGAGACTTTGGTTTCCCAACAAGTGACTTTTGGGGCATGGGCATTTGGCTTATTTTCGAACGCAGTTTAGGATCTGCAGGACAATTTCTTTTCCCACAAATCGAAACACCTGTCGCCTTCAGAAGATTTTCTTCAGCAATAGCAACTGACACCTGCTGTGATCTGGCACAGATGAACTCTGAGACATTTTCTCAGCTTCTGCAGTTGTTACATCTGTGGATTTCTCACTGGTAGTGGTTATTTTCGAACGCAGTTTAGGATCTGAAGGACAATTTCTTTTTCCACAAATTGAACACCTGTCGCCTTCAGAACTTTTTTCTTTATCAACAGCGATTGATACCAGCTGTTGATCTGGCACAGATGACCTCTGAGACATTTTCCGAATCAGAGAACTAAATAATTCCAATGATGATATATATGCATCTGTATATTTATGTATATACGCATTTGTTTATAGATATTGATAAATAAAATGAAAAAAAGATATATATTTACTTCTTAAAGTACATCGCACATAGTAATGCACACGATTTTTTTTAACTATCGCACAAAATTGATGGCCACAAAGATTATTCTGTTACTGAAAACAATCT